AAACAAGGACGGTGAAGCTTGTCTTTCACACTTCTGATATGTAGCTAGGTGAGGCTATCCTTTGGAAAGGGACATTGTGCTTGGAAAGATGGAGGGTCAGCGAAGGAGAGGAAGACCCCCAATGACTCAATGGCACCTAACAACAAAATGGTTACAGTCACTGTATCAAACCATCTTGTCAAGAGTCTTTCTCTGATCCTCCACATTTCCCAGTGTGTTGGTTTTTTGCAAAGACTGGCCCCTACTGACCACATGCCCCAAATCTGTGAGATAAGGTTTCACCATTCTTTCCTCTGAGGAGGACCTTTGCCTCTCTAAACTTTTACTAACGAACAGTAGCAGTTTCAGTTGTTTCCTATTCCATTTTTAACACTAGAACATAGTATTTACTGCCTCTATGTTTTTTTCTATCTGCTCTGTCAATTCTTGTATCTCCCTGCTGTCTGTGACCACCCTCAAAGCACACAGTAGCATTTAATATTATAGCAGCTGAATGAATGTGTACAAAGTACTGTTTTCCTTCCCCTGAAACTGGGGCTTTTTCTTTTCTCTTTGTCCTCCTTGTGTTCGTTCCTCATCTTACTTCTCTGTAGATGAAGAGATTAAAAAAAAAATGAGATAAGAGAAACTCAGCACTCAGACTCTGACGGATTAGTAAGTATTTCTAAAGAAAGCAAAAGTGGAATGGCCTACCTTCTAGGAATTACAGAGAAGTGAAAGAACCATGGCAAGATTCAAAAGGTGGGACTTGCAGCCAGATGCAGCACAACCTCCAGTCTTTCTGCTTCCCCATAGCACAGTTTTGAGTATACCTTGAGCTGCCCAAAGAAGAAAATAGGTCTGTTTTGGGAGATACGCAGCCAAAGTAGTCCTTAGAAATAAGGCTGGCGAGGCTTCCTCTCACATACTTTGGGACACGTTCTCAGGAGGGACCAGTCCATGGAAAAGGACTTTAAGCCTGGTCAAGGTGAAAAAGAGAAAGAACTGACCATCACTGAGATGAACACACACAGTGGCTGCAGCAGTGGATTTAAGCACAGTGGAGCCTGTGAGGACGGTACAGGATCAAACAGTGTGTGTTCTAATGTACATAAGGCTTTGAGTCAGATGCTGATGGCACTTAACGCAACCACCACATTACTCACAGTGACCCTAGAAGAACAGACTAGAACTACACCATATGGATGCTGTGGTGTTAAGGCTTTATTGTTCAAAATGGCTTTCCTAACCACTGGCTTTGACTTTGCCACGTGGGTGAGCAGGAATACGTGAATAGGGCTTGTTAGCCTGTCCACAGGGGTCTGACTCTTGCCACTAAACTGAGAAGATTCAGCAGGTTTTTGTGATTCAAGCCTCTTGTTTCGTGTCAACAAGACATCCTGGAGGGTCCTGGATTTAAGGTGGGCCCTTTGTCTCCATTTCCCAGCATGTTGGTTTTTTGCAAACATTGACTCCTAATGACCACATGCCCAAAATAGGTGAGATGAGATTTCACCATCCTTGCCTCTAAGGAGGACTTTTAGGACATGCCCTTCTTCCAAGACAGTGAGTCAAGATGTGTTGCATTTGAAAATTTGCTGTTAAGGACCTCTCTAAACTTTTAGTAATGAACAGTAGCATTTTCAATTGTTTCCTATTCAATTTTTAACACTAAAACATAGTAGCTAGGCCTAGGCCAGCTAGGCCACCGAGGAGCAGTTCTGCCACCTCAAAAAGGTTGGCCCAGGCGTCGTTCCTGGTCAGCTCCAGTGTGATTATCTGCCTTAATGTAACCGAGTGTGGTTTATAATTTACGCTCCATTCATGTTACAGAGAAAACTCATATGATCTTCAAATCTATTGTTTTAAAGTACATTTTGGCCATTTTTGTGTGTATAAATTTTTTTAACACAGCAATATGATTTTATTCAATTACTTTGGAAACAAAACTTCCAAAATGCCTGACACTATGAAGAAGAATGTGACATCAGGATCAGAGGAAGACTCATCAACAACCTGCCTTATGCAGATGACACAACCTTGCTGGCTGAAAGCAAGGAGGATTTTAAATGCTTCCTGTAGAAGATCAAAGACTGCAGACTTCTATAAGGATTAGATGTCAACATCAAGACAAAAATGCCACCAGTGGACCAATAAGCAACATCATGATAGATGAAAAAGATTGAAAATATTAATTATTTCATCTTATTTGGGTCCACAATCAACCTTGGTATCAGCAGTCAGGAGATCAGGAGATGTACTGTATTGGACAAGTTCACTGTCAGGCATCTCTCCTCAAAAATGAGGAACAATGATACCAGTTTTAAGACTAAGGTGTGCCTGATCCAGGAAATGTTCTTTTAAATCTCTTGCTATGCATCTATTGCCAATGTCAGATGGATCTTGTCTGAAAGAAGAAAGTACCAGAGGAATGTCTGAGTTTGACTGACCACGCAAAGGCCTTGATTGACTGTGTGGATCACAACAAACTGTGGCTAACCTTGAGAAGAATGGGAATCCCAGAATGCCAAATTGTGTTCCTGCGAAACCTATACTTGAACCAGAAAACAGTGGTCAGAACATAGCAAAGAAACATTGTATGGTTCAGAATCTGAAAAGGATTGCATTACAAGTGCAGCCTGTCTCTATATCTCTTCAATCTATACTAGAAACAATATTCAGGAGGCTAGACTTTATGAGGAGGAATTTGGCATCAGGATTCGAGGAAGACTCATCAACAACCTACGCTATTCAGGAGACACAACCTTGCCCACAGAAATTTATGAGGACCTTAAGCATTTGCTGCAGAAGGGCAAGGACTGTAGTCTTCAATATGAATTGAAGTTCAACATCAAGAAGACAAAGATTCTCAATAGGCCAATGGGCAGCACCACAACAGATGGAGAAGAGATTGAGGTTGTTAACAATTTCAGCTTGCTCAGCAACACAGTTAACACTCTTGGCACCAGCAATCAGGAAATCAAAAGTTCTGAAGAGCAATGATGTCAGCCTGGAGACTATGGTATGCTTGATTCAGGTCACGATCTTCATAATTATTTGCTATGAATTAGGAAGCTGGACAATGAACAATGATGACAAGAAGAACTGATGCCTTTGACTTGTAGTACTGGAGAAGAGTACTGAACATACCATGGGCTGCCAAGAGAACAAACAAGTTTATCCTGGAGAGAGTGAAACCAGTCTGCCCCTTGGAGGAAAGGATTTTGAAACTCTGTCTCACATATTTTAGGCATGTGGCCTGGAAGGACCAGTCCCTGGAGAAAGACATCATGCTTGGAAGGGTGGAGGGGCAGCGCAGCAGAAGAAGAACTCGGATGTGATGGATTGACACAGTAACTGGTATAATGGGGGTATGCATGTCGGAGACAGCGAGACTGGCTCAGGATAGAGCAGAGTTCAGACCTACTGCGCATTGGGTCACTGAGTCGCAGGCGACTAGATGACACATAACAACAATGCATCTGAAAGCTAAACAATGGATAAGGATGACAGAAGAACTGACGTCTGAGTAGTGGTGTTGGGGAAGAGTACTGAATATACCATGGACTGAAAAAAACAAACATCTTGGAGAAAGTGCAGCCAGAGTGCTCCTTGGAGGCAAGGAAGATGAAACTTCATCTCACACACTTTGGACATGCTAGGACAGGCTATTCCTTGGAAAGGAACATCATGCTTAGAAAAGTGGAGGGACAATGAATGAGAGGAAGACCCTAGTGTTCCACTGGAGAAGGAGGGGCAATCCTCTCCTGTGCCAGTCAGATGCAATTTGATGGCACACAACAAAGGAAAAATAAAATATCTAAAAGGAATGAACAAGAGAGGAAGACCCTCAATAGGATGGAAAGACACAGTGACTGCAGCAACAGGCTCAAGTGTCTCAGAGATGATGAGGATGGCGCAGGACAGGATATGGTTCAAGTCAGTTGATCACAGGGTTGCTAGGACTTAAACTCAGTTCTACAGCACCTAACACTACCACCACCACAACAGGGTACCGGTAATTTCATGAAGACGAGATTACTGAGCGAGGGCTTTGGGTTATACTTTGACAGTTTGTAATTGGGATCAAAACAGGATGAAATGTGGAGGTCAGGCAGAGTATCACAGTCTTGATAGGCTTCTCTGAATGTGCTGACACAAGAGCCATTAATCTTGTATGCACTTCAAGCTGTTTGGAAATGGAAAAAATGAAATCTGGGGTTGTTTTGTTTTCTCTTGAAAACTCCTGAAGTCGTGAGTGAAAATTCCAAACAGAGAAGCCCCAGCAAGCGCCCTGGAGTCCACCTGCAGAAAGGCCTGGTCCGTGACACACAGCTGGTCTCTAACTGTAGTTATCCAAGCGACATGTTCTGGCACACTGCTTCTGATGAGAGGGCAGAAACACAGCTCATGACCCAGCAGGGGAAGACTCTTACCATTGAAGGCACGTACACACGATTCAAGTAAGCTCTGGACTCTTTCCAGATATTGAAAAGTTAGTATAACCTTCATTGTTGTTAGGTACCATTGAATGGACACACTTTTAGTGACCCTATGAACAATGGATCTTGAACCTTGCTCTCTCCTGCACCATCCTCATCATCTCTGACATACTTAAGCACATTGTTGGAGTCACAGTGTCAATCCATGTGGTTGAGGTTCTTCCTCTCTTTCACTGACTCTCCACCTTTTCCAAACATGATGGGCCCTTCCATAAATATGCCCCAAGTATGTGCGACAAAGTTATACCACACCTGTCTCTAAGGAGCACCCTAGTTGCACCTTCTCTAAGATAAATCACTTTGTCCTTTTATCAGCTCATGCGATAGTCAGTACTCTTCTCACAACTTTCATAGTTGTTGCGTACCATCAAGTTGGAAATGACCTGTAGTTGACCCTTCAGTGGATTTTCAAAGAGATTACCCACCTTTCTCCCTTGGAACAGCTGGTGGATTTGAACTATGTACTTCTGTTCTAGCAGCACAACTCCCTACCACTAAACCACCAGAGCACCCTACAATTTTCATTAGGTAGTATCACACCAACACTAAGTGCTTGTGTAAGACCTTTTATATTACACAGTAGAGTAAATGCTCAGATATTTAAATGAGCACCCAACACTACAAAGTGCAACCAACATGGTTCTGTAAAAATACTTTTCAACTATGGCATTCAAGGACAGCAATACAAAAGTCTGCTTTACAAAGTAACTAATATAAACATCTGCAAATGCCATAAATTAATTTTTTGGCTATGATTCTCATAGAGGCATGTCATTAGATATACTTTCTTTCATTCCTTCCTGAGGCTGTGTGTGTGTGTGAGTATATGCTATACTGCTAAATGCATTATCTTTGATCACCGTTCCCTAAAATGATTTTTAAAGACCTGCAAAATATTTTATTGCATAGGACACTGTTAAGGACATAGAGATTGGGAACTGCAATCATGTAGCATTGGAAGAAGTCTTACAAATAGTGCATTTTAAGAAATCTGTCACATACTTTTTTTTCTTTTTACAGTTTGTCTCTTTTAAAAAATTCTGAAGTTACAGCTAAGAGTCAACTAAGTACAGTGAAGCATTTTAGGAATGTTAGAGATTAGAGAATAAGATGAATGATACAAAGGGGGAAAAAAAAAGCCGTAATTCTTGCTAGCTATATAATGTATTGCCTTCAAAAGCAACTGTACATGTTGTAATCAGTTTGTAGTTAAATATTTCTACTAATCTGTTTTGGGAGAGCAAATATCTTTCAGGGTTTCGAGTTCCTCTATAAGCTTCTTGTTTTGAACTTCCAGCACTGCAACACGACTCTCCAGACATTTTACATATTCTTTCTTTCGGCGTCGGCATTCTTTTGCGGCTTCCCTGGAAAAAAGTAGAAGCGAAAAGGGCAAACAAAACATTTTGTGCATGCTATTAACCAACAGATTGAAGCAAGCTTGGTAAGTGTGATCATGGTTACATTCCAAATCTTGGAACAAAATTCCCAATTCCATTTCAAACACTAAAGCCACACAGGATTCTTAAGGGTCACAAGAGTCCCTTCTACAAGTCCACATGGCAATTAGTAGAATTACTGCATGTCCTGCCTTGATTAGAGTTCATAGGAAACAAGGTCCAAGCCCAAGACAATTACTCTGCTTTATTGCTATAAAGATCTTTGAGGGCCTTGAGTTCCTCAATCAGAGTCTTGTTTTGGTGTTCAAGCACAGCCACACGATTTTCAAGACATTTGACATATTCTTTCTTCTTCCTGCGACACTCCCGGGCAGCTTCCCTGGAACCAACACAAGGTAAATGACTACAGGAACAACAGCCCAGCACAATCCAGAGTGGCCCAGCAAGCGTCTGCCCCGCCCCAAGCTCCACAGCTAATCAATTGTAGGGAAAGTTTGCACAAAACCACTCAACAGTATACCCAAGCACACACCCTTTTGGTAAGACAACAGAGCAACTTGAGAACACAATTGGGGGGCCCTGCATGTATCTCAAATGGCATTTTCTTAGAGTACATGGCCATTATAACAATGGCCAGAGCCATGAGTGGTTTTCAGTAATCTAAAACAATTGGAGGACCACATCCCAGGTGGAAGGAAGGCTTAAAAAAACAGCATTACAATTGACAGCTTCTTTAATGCTCTTTCATTCTTCTTTGTCTACCAAAAGCCACATACTCCATTCTGCAATGCATTCTACTCTATCTGGTGAAAACATAACTAGAAGACGTCACCTTCAGAAAGCATAAAAGTCAATCTTGGAGATTTTTATTCTTCAGATTAAATCTCCATAAAATTAGCAAGATTAATCGTGGCTACAGGAAACAGTTTACTGGCTAGAACACACAGCATGTGTAAGAACAAGCAACACAAAAAGTACAAACTTTCATAAGCCACAATGAGATGGACATGAGGTCTGAGCTGACATAAGAAAAAGGTGGCAGGCGCAGACACAATACAACACAATCATTCAGGCAGTCTAAACACAGGAATGTGCTAATGCTGCAATTAAAATAATAAGTTACTGGTTAGCATCAAAGTATATTTCAGACCTAACCTACTAGATTTTAAAATTTTAAAGCACAGAAAGCATGCCCCCCCCCAAAAAAAAGCCAGAAGCCAAAGCACAAAACAAAACATAAACACATGGATGAGCTGAGGGAGTTATTTTCATGCACCATCCTACGCAAAACCCAAAACAAAACAATGAACATTGCTCCTTTCTTCAGTAGTGGAAGTGGTTCGTCTCTACAGATTAAGTCCTCTAGTAGCACTTTATTCAGAAATAACTTAATTTGGGAGTAACTTTCTCTAGGGGTGTTGGTACAATTCACTAAGTAAAACCACCCCAAAAAGAGCCCACATTGAAACATATTATCATTCAAATATAAATTATCAAAACCATCATGGAGTATCTACAGCCACCAGACTCTGTAATGCTGATTAGCACTGCTGTAATTCTGGCCGGTGTGTGATGTACATAACAAATCTAGCTGGTTCTTTGCTTTTTCAGGTTCACAGACTCTCATCAACAACTGTGTATCTGTGTTTTCTCCATGGGAAGCATGCAACAACTGTGTATCTGTGTTTTCTCCATGGGAAGCGAGAGTCAGCAGAAACGAGACCTTGAAATCCCAGGGAAGTGCAGGAAAAGATCAACCCCTACACTTCCTAGCCAAGAACAATGCACTGTCCCTGCAAACTCACAGAGGGCTCAGACTTCCCAAATGGTTTACAAAAAAATAAACAAACAATGTCAAAGTGAATAATGGAACCCAATTTAAAAAAAAAAAAAAAAGTGATTCATTTACATGATGCACAGGAAAAAGTTAAGAATAAATCCAAGCACATTTCTAACTTTCCAATTTGGGAGGACATAAATTCTCTTTTATGGAGGAATGAAAATTAATTTATGACTATCAATGTTTTTATGGTTAGTTATTTGGATTAACTCTAGATATAGAAGGAAGATAGTAACTCTACAAAACAGATTAGTATTAAATGGAAGTTTTACATAATAATGGTGTGGCAAGGTATTACATTTTTAAAAGTTTGTTGACCCAGTTTATTGAAAATATCCAGAATTTTTATTTTACAACATTGAGTATGTGCACAAGCCCTGCTCCTCAGGTCAAACTGTTGTGAGCGCAAAGACTTAACACGATCATACCACCCGATGGCACATTCCTAAATACTGCTCAGCTATGGAAAACACCTGTTTCTTCTATTAATAGTTCGCTCAATTTTCAAGCTTTGTGTTTGTATGGAGATAGTCGGCATGAAAAGAAAATATCTGGCAAAGAGGAAACTCTGAGAAGGCTGGGAAGAAAGGAAAACTGTCTCTAGACTGACAGGACTATAACTAACTGCCTATTGTCAATAGAGTCAACAGATCAAAAGAGTATCTATGAGGCTTTCTACAGTAGTGAGTTAAACCTAGATGCTTGCAATGAAGTTAAATCTGAAGCTAGCATGGGGGCTTGTCTGGTGGTGACTTTGGTGTAGGGCCCTGGTGAGTTCTGGAACAAAGACTGACCGCATATCCCAGCTCTGTCCTGGTGGGCTGTGTGATCTTAATCCAATTGTGCCTTAAAAACGCTCAACCTCAGTTCCCTGTCTATGCAGTGAGACTGATAACAAAACTCATTCTCACGTCGAGGCTAAAGGATCCGAAGAAATAAAGCACTTAGAACATGCAATTACTGTTCAACATATATTGTGCAACCTAATAGCCATTTACAAGGTACCTCTGTTTTGCTCTGAAATTGATACTGGAAAGGTTAAATATACCTTCTCAGTATCCCTAGGGACTAGAGACCTAGTTCAAGTCAATGAAATGTAGGGGAAAGGTGCTGGGTGGACACTCTGAGAAAGGTTTTCAGAAAGACCAGGCTCAGCCAGTAGCAACTTTGAGCTCTAGCCTTTCACCTTCCTTCCTCCCTGATGTGATGCCTGGTGGTGATGTGATCACAGGAATGAATGGCACATGCTGAACATGACAGAACAGAAAGGCAGAGCCTGGGTTCTTGCTGAGACTACTGAGCTTCTATTCTGGCTGCACCTGCTGCTCTGCTGTAACCAAAATACTTCCTATGAGTTTAAGCCTGCGCTTTCCAGTTTTGGATTATCTGTAGCTCAAGCACATTGCTGTTTATAAAGTTATTTGTAATTAATTATCTTTTTAAAATTCAAAACTATATATATTTTTTTTCACCCCCTCAAAAAGGTCTCATATATGTGTATAAGTAGTTTGTGTGGCAAATTTATAGGAAATCACTGCCTAATATTATCTTTCCAATTCTGGTAGTTCTACTGACAACATCTTAAGATTGGGAAAAGGTAGGAAATAGTTACAAAAGAGAAATAAGAAGACCACTTCCAAGTTTCTCCTCATTTTCTTTGGGAAGATACAATATTGATGAACAATTTCACAGTTGGCATTACTAGCGCACTTTATATTTCTAATTGGAACTTCACAATGGATATTCTATATATAACCAAAGAGGCAATTACAATCACAGTACCAAAGACCTCTGAAAGTGTAATTTTAAAGTAGCCATATTTTAAAGTGAGCTCTGGTGGCCTAGTGATAAGAAGGTACACTGTCAATCCAAAGGCAGGCAGTTCGAATCCACTAGCTGCTCGGTGGAAGATGGACAATCTCTTTCCATGTGATTTACAGCCTCTGAAAGCCCATTAAAGAGTCATCCATGAGTCAGTTCTGACAGGATAGCAATGAGTTTGAGTCCTGATCAAACCTTAGTGTCAAGATTTGCACAGGAGTAGAATACTGTGTGGGCCCCACCCACTGAGCCCTTCAGGACTGCTGAGCCCAACACTGAGGCTTAGGGAACTGAGAATAACTGTTGATAAAAATGTGAAGGGCTTGATGATCCCCCTTTAGTCACTTGTTGAGTTCTCAGCATGCAAAAGCTCCATCAAGTGAATTGTGTCATGTGATAAACTTGGGTATTACAATCAGCTTCACATTGTGACACTTGAAAAGGCCATTATTAAATGGAATATACTGCTATGTTTAGGGACATGGAGATAATTTCTAGATTAACTAGGTTGCTAGCGCTGATCAAATTAACTGCTATCATGTGATCCTGAATCACAGTAAGCATACAAATCTATCTGAATTTTTAAAAATTATCTGACTTAACATTTAAAAATAAAGTTGCAAGAAATGACCAACTTAATGGTGAACCAGCTGCTATTACATCCATATTCTCCGCCTGGCTACTGATCCCAGGCCATCCCAATCCAGCCTATGAGTCCCAGATCTGAGTTCCAGATCTTCGCCCTTCTTCAGCAGGAAGTACCCAGAAAGAATACTTTGCCCATTTTTCTAACTAAAGAGGCTGGGATGTCAGGTCCCGACCAAGGTCAAAGGGAGAACAAAGGATTCAAGGAATATCAACATGTTAACAAAGGGAGTGAACAGCCTCACCTATCTGACTAAACTACCGTGAAATACCTCTCCCTGCCCTCTCTAGAAGACCACTCACTTGGTTTAACCACAATGGAATGTCCCCCCCCACCCAAAGACCCTCACTATAAAAACACTGACCTAATCAAACCTTGCCCTTAATAGAGCTTCTTTAGCTTTAAAAAAAAAAAGTTGCAAGATTGTTGGTAAAATTAAGGCCAATTTAGTTCATTTCAAAAATAAGGATAAGTTAAATATTTTAAAAAAGAATTTTAAAAAGAATTTATTTTGGGAGGTGGGGTGGGCAGGGAGAAAAGTGCAACAATGAATAAATGGAATTCCAAAATCACTGTAGATGTTCATTGCAATAAAAAAAAAGAATATATTTTTTAAAATATTTAAAAAAAAATAAGATTACACAGATTTAGAGCAAGAAAGAGTGAGAGGAAATGGGAAAGAACAGACTGGAGATACATACACTTGGAAAACTCACTCACTGCTGTCTATTCAGAACTGTCTCATAGTGGACTCTCCAAGCAGGTTTCAGAAGCTGTGCACTGAAGAAGGAGTTGTAACACCAAACCACAGCAGGCAGTCTGAATCCACCAACTGGCTGTTCCATAGGAAAAAGATGGGCAATCGCCTCCCATGCAATTTACAACATCTGAAATCCCGCTAGAGGGTCAAGGTGTGAGTTGGTTCCAACTCTACAGCACATTAACACCACCAAATTGAAAGGAGAAGATTGCCCATTTTTCTCCTGCTGGTAGATTTGAACCACTACTGGGACATCACTCTTGGGTTAGCAGCACAACTGTGTATGGAATATGCCACCAGAACGCTCTCAAACAATTTAATTATTAGTAATTATTTTTAGATGGAGGGCTAGGATAATTTGATTTCTCTTTTTTAATTTTTAGTAAGATTTATCAGACTGTATATCAGTAAACAGAGAAAGATCAAAATTATAAGAAGATGAGATGTAAAACATAGAAATGCTTTCTTTACACTTATTTTGCAGATAAAGAAAATGTTCCCTTTGGAAGCGCATATACTAAAACTGGAACGATACAGAGTAGATTAGCCCCTACACAAGGATAACATGCAAATTCATGAAGTATTCCAATTTTTTTTTAAAAGTAAAAAATCTACTTATCACTTATAGCACAAACTTTTATTTCTAATGAAGTCTTTTCATTATCATTAAAAAAAAGTAATAATAATAATAATACTGGAGCTAGAGCAATGTGCATCCTGCTGATGAAAGAAAGCTAAGAACTCTGATTAGAAGCCATATGCAAAGCACAAAGCCACGTAAAATGTTACCTATAACACATACCTTAGAACACACACCTAATATTTTTAAAGTCCAACAGTAATAAAGGAGTATGTCCTATAATGGTGACCAATTTCTAGTGATCTGCTTACCTGTTTTTCATTAGCCTCAGCCTCCGTGTGTGTATTGCTTCTTCAGCTAGTTGCTGTGGACTATGCAAACCCACCAATGAGGCAGTCATCACTACTCCTTGTGGCAAAGCTGTAGTAGAAGCTCGGATCTGGTAAGTTGGCATGTCACCAGTAGCAGCTGCAGTAAAACAAAATATTACAAGAATACATAAATCATTCACAATTTGGCTGTTTTAAGTACAACTGACCTGGAAATAACAGACTTCTCTTTATATGTCTTAAGAGATTGTTTTCGCTCACGTTTTAGATGAATACACTGAAGCGTTACAGGAATCTTAGGTATCAAAGATCTTCAGCTAGGAGCAATGCTTCATAGGTAGGAGCAATGACATTCAGTATGCTCTCCACATTTAAGAAAGGAAGATGTCCTAATGCATTTGGCTTTTATCAAAGGCTAGAGTGGAGAGGATTTTCAAGTGAAAGTTCATTTAACCTAAAATCAGCGATGTGCTGATAAACATTTAACCAACAGCTTTCTGGGAAGAAAAGCCTGCTGCAGCGTTTGCCAATGCCCATGTTGTAAACACTTTCACAATGTTCAATTTTGAGCCACCAGTGTGGTGTCACTGATGGTAGAGCTGGGAAGCGCTGTGCAAGGAGTAGCGTGCCACATGGATAGATCAGATGTGAATAACCTCAAGTGTAGATATTTATAAGTGATGAGTTTTGTGTGGTTTATGAATGTGGACTTTAATGTAATTTATTCTCTAAACAGATGCATTTTAATAATGGTTGTTTTCACAACCTGTTTGCAAAGATCCTGTAAATTCAACAATCAGCTCTATCAATCCTGTAGGAGCTGGCTCTAAAACGCCAACAGAAAACAGTTGGGAGGAAGCAAGACATCTCCATTCCTGGGACGTTCAATAAAAAAACAGCCCTACAGCCTAAATCATGCCTGAAACAGTGACTAAGTCTCTTCAGGTGCAAACCACATGACCAGAAAGTGACTGAAGAAGTATTAGAAGGAAATCTAGCTCATTAGATCTTCAGTTAAAAAGGGGGAGGAAGATAAAATATCCAAGTTCTACCTAAAGTTGGTTTCTCTGAGGAAAGATAATTTTGTTTTCCTGGAATTATAATAATACATTTCTGTATGTTCATTTTAAAAAAACCTAACTGTAGTATAATCATTCAGAGAAAAGACATTTAACATTTATTTAGTATTCACACTGAATACTAAATGGCAAGTCCTCAAGATTTCTTAAGATTTTATCAGCTGTATTCAATAAAGGTTCCTAGAAGAGGCAAGTGGGTTTGAGTACTGATATTATGTTCCTGTCTCAACCAGCATCTCAACTTTGAGAATGTATGTATCAATCAGAGTTAATCTGGCACAAACACATGCTCTCTCAAAGCTAAATGAAAAGGGGTGGGGATGAAATATGTACGTGTGTGATACTATCCCTTAAACTAATACTAAAGCTGGTCAAAGCCACATGTCAATCAAAATGAGAAATACAGTATTCCTGTATTTTATTAAATATATTTATAAATACAATGTAAGAACTAAGATTTGACCAAATTGGGAGACAAAGAGGTGGGTCAGTCGAGAAGTCTTAAAAAATCAAAACAAAAATGAACTGATCTGTAATTATTCTGTATGTGGTATGTGTTCATCTTCTTTTCCCTACGGCACAAAAATTAGATAAAACAATAAAGCAGTAAAAAAGAATGACTTGTCTAGATCATTTAAAGGAGGGTTCTTGAAAAGTTTTACAACAATACAATTGTAAAATTATACTTCATCTTTCTATATATAATTTTTAAAGAGTGGTGATAAATGGTCACTGTGATACAGTGATCACCTGCAAGACTCTATTAATGAACTTGGATAAACTCCTAAATTGCTTTTTGTGAGTATTGAGAATATTGTATACACAGATGTCTCATTATTATTTCTGAATTTTTAAATGTTGTTATGAAGTGCCATTGAGTCATAAACTCACAGCTGGCCCTCCAGAAGGTCTTCAAAGCCTATAAATTGACAGGAGATTGCCCATTTTGCTCCTGTAGAACAAGCGTTTGTTTGACCAGCTTGTCTTCAGGGCAACTCCTTACCCATGAGGCCACCAGTTGTTGCTGTGTGCCACTGAATCAGAACCAACTCACAGCTGACATCCCAGGAGGTTTTCAGAGGCTGTAAATCACACAGGAAGAGATTTCCCATCCTTCTCCCATAGAGCAGCTGGTGGATTTGAACTGTGTGCCTTTGGGAGAGTAGTGCAGCTTCTTACTGCTAGACCATCAGAGCTCCTTCCAGAGCTCCCTATTTTTTAAATAGTTAAAAACAGGTATAGAATCTCTGTTAGCTTATGAATAGTTTGGTTTTTAAGGATCTTTATCATACTATCACTAGAGATTGAGTATAGCACAGAATAATGTAGTTCTCCTGGCTTTTCTCTTTACGTCCATCTGGGGAAGGAGGGTATAGGCTGATATAGGTTGAAATAATGGTCAACCTTTGGGTTAGCAATCAGATACTTTGAGGACCACAGCATTCTAAAACTGAAGCAACAGCCAGGGCTGAATGAGGATTTTATATGTCACTCTATTGACATCTGCAGGCAACATGGAACACAGACTTTAGTCTAGAGTTGGTTTTCCCATTCAAAATACAGCTGCTCACAAAGAAGGGAATAAAATTAACTAACTGGAAGGTATAGAGCGGCTCATTATACTCTTCACTCTAACTCTGTGCATGTTCACTATTTTTTTGTAATAGTTGAAAAGAGGGCTTTTATGGTATACAAGATAGTTTTAAGTGTATTCATTACGGAAGGAAGGAAAATAAAGGGGATAAGTAAGAATGCCCCTCACTTTAATGGAATAAAGTTGTTGGTATTTTACTTAATAGAGATGGCTTTACTTTTCCTAACCTTCCTAAAGCCAAAGTAAGGGAGCTCTGGTGGCCTAGTGGCAAGAAACTGAGCTGCAATCCCAAGGTGCATGGTTCGAATAAACCAGATGCTCCACTGAAGAAGGAGGGGCAATCTCCTCCTGTACCAGTTGGACCTGATTTCATGGTAAACATCAAGAAGAAAAAAGCGGAGGGGGAAAGCCAAAATAACCATCAAGGACTAAATTTAGTTCCATGGAGGAAAATGTAAAAGAATGTATGATAGTCATTTCAAAATAAGCATTCTTAAAACATTTTGAGAAATGGCTCAGAAGGAAAGAAAAAAATTAAATTTTAACTGGGAAGGGAATGATATATTTGGACATATATTAGCTCTGAGATGTTTGCTCAAAAATATGGACTTTGTTACTATTTTTAAATAAAATACTGCTTTAGGTCCTTCAACAAAAATTCTAATTAATTAGCTCAAACCAGCATATGAATTGCAAGTTAGTATAAAATAGGATGAATCAGTAGACATTCTTTAATTTCTCATAAAATTTCTATGATGGTACACCATCTAATGATCAGTGAATAAACTCCATATATTCAAATAGTAACGTTCATAAAAAAAGACATGGGCAAAGAGAATCTCTTGCTTTGTGGAAACCTAGATTTTGAAAAATGGTCCTTTTGAAACAAGTTGTAAAGTTTTTGTCTGAGCTAACCTCCATTTCCACTATGTGAATTAAGTGTTAATGTGAAGTAGAATAGATATTTACGGAAGCCACTTCAAGGAGCTCTCTTCCATTCTCTGATGCATATTCTTTTCTTATACTCTCATAAAGGCCTACTCTTGTTCCATCTAATTACTAAAAGTGTCCACATTTCTTTGTCATTCTAGAATTTCACAGTACAAACTACCTCTTTAAAAAAATAGGACATTACTAGGGGCTTAAAAATTATGACTGAAGAAGGAAATTAAGAAAAAGACAACTATACAATATTTTCTTTTTCTCCTCCCACAAGGAGAAACTTTTAAAATCAGGGCTAATATCTTTTATAACTTGGTCTCCTTGGCATCTAGCACGGTACTTGGCACCTAATGGGTATGTGATGAGTTTATAAAATGCCTAGTAAATTCTGAACCTGTTAGAGTTTGATATAAAACTTATGGTTATTTTAAGATTTATATAAATATGCAGTCTTTCTTATACACTAATATCATTATGACTAACTCTTAAAGTCTTTAACATTAAAACATATAGAATAGAATGCCCTGTTGTATGTTTATTCAAACTGGCCTTTCTTGATAAAGTCTCCCTTTGGATACTCATCTAATTTGATACTCATTGTGGAAGCAGAGTTGATATAATGTGAACTGGCATGAATATTTTTGTTCTTTTTGATAATTAAATATCTCATGGGAGGCGAATATTCCTTGAACTCTTGATTCTGGCCATCACTTCATACCTCTCTTTGCAACCTTTAAACAGCGAACAGCAGAAAAAGCATGGGATTTGGAGTCTGGGTTCTAGTGCAGCTCTGCCACTTACCAGCCATGTGACTTGGGGCAAGTTCAGTTTCCTCATCTGTAAAATGGGGATACATGATCTCATTTAATACTCAAGAAAAACCCTGCAATGTATGTTAAAGTGTCTACTACAGTGCCTAGCACATGGCAGGCATTCAGCAAATATTAGTTCCTTCCTTAAGTTTGGAAAGAGAATGTTTCCAAATTATGCTTATACTGTATATTAGATCAAAGGCATATAATATCCATAAATACAGTGTTCCCTGGAGTTTTCCTTCTAATAATTATGGCAAATAGGATGACTGAAATGTATGGCTCTTCATCGCTATTTTGCTTAAAAATATGTGTTAAGAAACCTTAAAAGTTTATAATTTAGTAGTATACCTTTAGAGTATAGATTAACTAAAAAATGAAATTCCCTTCTCAAGGTATATAATAATTTTAAAAAAGAACCTAAAAGGTAGAGAATCACATATAGCCAAATGACACCTTCTCATCAGACTTGTGATTTTAAAACCTCTTAAGTAAAAAATGTAGGAAACAAATTTGAAACTCCTCCAGATACCTGTCTTACTAACTTGCAAAGTGAAACAAGTGCTCAGCACCCCAAATGAAAGGGACTATCCTGCTGGTTCAGTTATTTATTAAGCTCTATAGCACTGAGCACACTACCTGAATGCCTAAAAAGATTTTTGTATACAGAGTTCCTACCTTTGTATGGTATTTTACAGTGTGCCGCTATACCTACATGTACCTAAGTAAGCAACAGAGATAACCTAGAAGTCATGCTTCTCAGCAAGCACTTCTCTGCCTGGCTCCAAGAATAAGTGACTGACCCCATCTTTATTTTGGCCTGCTCGGGAGGGGAACATCCCAAAACAAAGATGGGGTCAGTAACACCCAGACCAGATTTGTCTTACATGACACCAAATTTTCCCTTCATTGCTTCATTTTCTCCATGAAAATGATGTCCTATGTAAAAATAACTAAGCATTGACATTTTTCAAATTTAATGTGACAAGTAGACTAAATAGAATTAAGTCATTAAATATTTGTAAATTATGACCTAAGCTGCTTAAGTGAAAATTTTAAGTCAAAAAGTCTGTGTAAAAGATGCAAAGTTAGGAATACTGCTATTTATGAATTTAATTTTAAATTTAATATATGTCCTATTGTCTGAAACAGTACTGAGCAAATAGTCTAGAAGAAAATCCTTTTTAACTAAAATAATGCTAATTTTACCAACAGTGTATAACTCGCTTACGTAACCCAAGTGACATCAGCCAACGTGGCATGTGAATTTTGAGAAGTAATGAGACACTGTGTGAGCAAAACTAGACAAGAAGTCTGAAGACCCTAACTGATCCATCACCTCCCATCTCTCTAAGCCTGGAAGAGCCACTGGCCACACCGATAAGCATGTAGTTCCATGTAAAAGTATCTCATGGTATTTGTCCTGTGTGCATCAATGAAATCATATGTGAGTCATTGGCTAGTTTTTTTTTAAAAAAACAATTGTTTTCTCCAAGAGGCCTACTCAGATCTTGACTCTTGATTGTTTCCTGCTGTTGTTTTTGTTGCGTACCATCAAGTTGGAACTGACCCATAGCTGACCCTTCCTTCAGCAGGTTTTTAGAGGCAGTAAATCATATGGGAAGTGATTGTCCATCCTTCTCCTAAGGAGCAGCTGGTGGATTTGAACTGTATGCCTTTGGGATTGCAGCATGGTTTCTTTCCACCCGACCCCAAGAGCTTCCAACTTCCTTCTTAGTGGTCTCTTGTCGCCCTCTCTATGTTCATTTCATTGCTAGCACTTACCATAATACGCAGTGACGTTTACTTTAACATTCAATAATGTGAGGTTGGTTTTATTGATCTTAAATTATATTTCATAAGCATTTTTTTTTCAAAGATGGTAGGAAAACACATAATGGCAATTTCAGTAAATCTTCTACATGGTTTAGAGTTTCAATAAAATATTGCCTTTCATTCTCCACGGGATTATAACATCCTCGCTAGTAACTTGCAAGAAGCCATTATAACCTGATAATAATCATTCTTTTATGTGAAAAGTTCCACATAAAAAGAATTTCCGATGCTCTGCCGGAGAAGGAGGAGCAATATCCTCCCGTACCAGTCAGATCTGATTTGACGGTACACGCACACAAAATAATAAAAATAAAAATTAAAAAAAAGAATTTCCCATCATTTTCTTTGCCCACTGGCACATACATTCTTATTATCATTAATCAAATATTAACTAAGATACTAATTGCCAAACCTGCATGAAATGGGATGTTTGGTTTTAATAATTCAGAAATCTAGGCTGAAAATGTATTACAATTAAGAATCTAAGAGCATATGTAATTATTCTCCTAACAATCGGCCTATGAATAAAGAAAAGAACCATTTTCAATAAGAATTTATAAACTATACTCAACAGAATTAATAAGGTAATCTTGTAAACTACAGATCCTAGAGGCAAATGCATCGTTTACTCAGAAGGCTGCTATTACTGTAGACTGAGTTTCCCAACTCTATGTGTAAACGATTCACTCACTCTCACTCAGACTGGAACAGAGGTGTTGCAACTGATGCAGAGCTAACCCTTCAGCGGGTTTCAAATGCTGATGATTCTATTGGAGGAAATGACCCGTCTTCCTCCCATAGACCCCCTGGTAGATTTGAACAACCCAAGAGGAGGCCCCTCTGGGTTAGCTGCTCAACTCCCCAAGAACTATGCTACCAGCACTCAGTTTCATAGGTTGAGGATAGCAGAGTATTTTTTTTTTAAAAAAGGACAAAAGGGAGGAGAAAAGTGTGACTATATTCTAGGTAGTGAGGATATTTGTTTTGAAACTTGCTTGATTTACATAGTAAATATAAAGGCATACATACATAAATGGGTCTATGTCCACTGTCAAAAGATTTACAAATTTTAAAAAACCAAAGATTTACAAGTCACTTATCTATATCAAGGGAGTTAGTGGTAAAAAACTACAATGCAATCTCAAAGGCATGTGGTTCATAACCATGAGCTGCTCTGTGGGGAGATGTACAGTTTCCTTCTGTGAGATTTACTGCCTCTGAAACCCTGCTGGAGGGTCAGCTATGAGTCAGTTTCGACTGATGATGAGATGATGATGCTGATGCCATGACATACACAACAATCTAGATCAAGCCACAAAATTAGCACAGAACTGAGCACCAGAGGCCTGCCTGAGTTCCAAAGCTGTTCCACTATACATGAAAAAATGTTCTTTACTCCTGTGCTCTTTGGCTATTAAAAAAAAGGGGGAGAGGAGAAGCAAATATCCAAAACTATGATAATGATAAAATTAGTTTCCTGTTCTCAAATAGCACTTATTTGAGAGAACTTTTGTTATTATTATCTCTCGTGTTAGAGAAATGGTGAATGGGAATGAAAAGTTTCACAAAGAAAGATCTAAACCTACTAGTAACTTTTAGGGGGGGAAAATGAGATGTACAAAAATGCCTTCTGACTCTAAGAATCACAAGACACGCAGCGATTTAGATTAAGTTTCTATAATAATACTGTAAATTGCTAGCTCCAGCAATATACAGTTTTTTAAGAGTTTCACAGAAAACACCCACCACTTCGACAAAAACAAGGCAATAGACACAAAACAAATTTTACTTGCTTGTAAAATGCTGCCTTTAAATACTCAAAACAATAGACTCTTACTACCCAGGAAGAGAACGAAGACCCATTAAATGAAGAGCTTTAACAGAGGTTAAGCCGCTCCTAATTGTACATCCTTGCTGAACGCAACAGCAAATTCAGTAATGGGGCACAAACAAGACAGCAATGAATATAGTGATGCGGTATATGAAGAACAGTAGCAACCACGTCTTTCAAAATCACTATCTGAAATAGTACTAAAAAAACCAAACCATGTAAAAGAAGTATTGGGAGGGAGAAAAAAGTGCTGAGAACAAATCTAAATTCCAGAGGCTGAGGAAATAAGTTAAAGGCGGGCACTTCCGGAGTGCGCACTAGAGGGCGCTCTGAATCACGAGTTCTTAGGTAGCTAATCAAGCTTAAAGACAACCCTTCTCTCTACACATATAGTTGATTTCTCACAGACACGTGCAGGGACTGCCTCATCAGCGGGAACCACCTTACCCCTAGAGCCTTGCCAGGCATCCCTGAATTCCTGCTCCAAGAAGCATTACAGGTTCAGGAGAGGTTTCCCCCTCGTCAAGCTACTACTTACCTCCAGGACAAAAAAAAAAATAAAAAAAAATAAGAGAGACTGTGAGCAAAGTGACGCTTACAAGGAAAAAAGAAAGCTACACGGTGTAAAGGAAGGGCGATCTTGGAGACAGGCAGAGATGAGCTACCTTGCAACTCTCGGTCAAGTCAGTCAGCAGCACTTGACAAAGCAGAAAGGAACTGACTAAATCGCAGCATGATTCGGAGCTGACGTCAATGTGCAGCTCGCTCGGAGTTTAACTTTTCCACTTCCCTGCTGCAACACGATTCCAGGAAATGTGATGACGTCAGCCCTTTGAACTCAATTAGCGGAGGAACAGACCATTTTCAACACAGGAGGAAAGAAACAAGTAGGCGCGCAAACATCCACAGCCCAATGGCTCGGATTCGGCTGGGAGCCGCGATTGATTTTTACGCAGCAATCAAATCGAAAGCTAGTTGTTTGGGGCTTGTGAGTTTATTTTTTAAACAACCTGAACAACACATTATCTTTAACTTGTGGTCGGACTGAATCTGCAACAGGTTGCTGATGAAGTAACAGCTTATTTTAGGGAAGAATGGGGGGGGGGGGAAGAGGGGGTGGAAGAGAGCAGAGAGCGAGCCAGAGAGTGAGTGCTGGAAAGCGATTACTGCCTTGATTAAAGAAACCGCACAACTTTAAGTAAAGAAGCAATTACAGCAAAGATGCTTTAATAGAGTGAACTGAATCTACTGAGATGTAAACGAAAACAAACTCCTTACTACCACTAGAACATTAGCTCTTCTGGAAACACGCAGACATAAGATTAAGTTCTCTTTTCTAGAACTTCTTCCCCCCCAAA